GGTTGCGGGGCGTTAGGGGGCCGTGGGGTGGGCCGGTGCAGGCCGCATGGTGGTGGGAATAGCGGGGCAGCGGAGGTGGCGGGGGCGACGGGAGATGGGAACGGGAGGGGTGGCGTGGTAAGCGAACGCGCCCATGGTTTATCTGGGCGCCGCTTGTCTAGCACACTCTCGGCTATTCTTTCTCTGGTGGTACCGCAAAGTAATGTACTCGTAGAGCCCCCTGCTACACAGAATCGTGTACTGTGCTTTAGAATGACCGGGGATACGTAACACCTCTGGGCGGGTGCTTGTTACGATGTTGTGACAATGGAACCGAGACTATATGTTTTGAATCGTTGTTATCTGGTGTATATTTCCTTCTTATCTGTATAAATCTATCTATCTTAGTTTGGAAAGATTTATTATGTTGCAGAACTGACCTACGTTGTTATTTTATTAAAGTTAAGAACTGTTGTAAGAATGTATGAGAATAATAATTATTACAGTTTACCTTGAATTTTAAGTGAGTTTACGGGTGCGCTTATTAGTATGGAGAAGGTGCCCCTTGTCTGGCTTATTCTTACAGACTTTTTTTCAGAAAAATTTAGTAATAGTGGAGATATGCCTCTCCTCTTCAAGTGCTGAGCCAATAAAAATGATAAGAGTGGTTTCATTCAGAGACACATCCTAAATATAAATTACTTTCAATTTACTAAAACAACGGGCCAAAGGCCTAATGCTCGAAAAAAACGAAGTAGTGTGTACTTACTAAAATATTGCTTATAATGCCAAGAGAGGATCAATCTTGTAAAATTTGGTCATATTTCGTTAAGGCTAGTAGGCGTTCCAATATACTTATATCTTGAATGATTATTACATTTTAATGGACATTTATTGATAAACTTCTCTATTTCAATTTGATGCATTTTCTTTCAATTTGCATTGTTTTCATTTATAAATTATACATTATTATTGTATATAAATTGTGGGGTATGAGTGACACTCCCCATAATATTGTAAAAACAAAATTCCGTTGCTTCATTTTTCTGTTGTTTGGAGTTTTATGGAAGCTATTCTAGTGAGCATCACGCAAATACACTCGTCTTAACGAGGATGTCTCGTCCTACGAGGAAGACCCACATAAAAATTTGCATATTAATCGTTGTGAGTTTTGTAACGAGTGCAGAAAAACTTTTAAAAGCACACGCGGACAAATGGGAAATAACTGTAGGCATTAATTACAATATGTTGTATTCAACAAGATGTTCCCCAAAATCTTAAACGCAGAAATATGATTTCTCTCTGAAGAGACAGTGGAACTGAGTGATCAAATTGCTACTTCTGGCTCCGTTCTGTGCGATTGAGAATGTCACCTACTGCGTAAAACTGAGAACGTTTCCTTTTTTCTTTGAAAATTTGATTGAACAGACTGCAGAGTATCGTTTTGATAGGCGTTCCGCAAGGTGTAAATGATCGCCATCCATAAGTCATTATTTTAGTTTGTAAGAGACGGATAAACAAATGATATCAATAATTACAAAATTTCCGTTACTATCTTCGTCAGTAAAGTAATATATTTTTTACTAATCCATGTTTGTGGCTTAAACTCTATAATGCCGTTTTTAATTTGCGGCTGTGTAATACTACGGAATGCAAGCAAGTGTAATACTACAGAATGCAAGATTAATGACCTGGATACTTCTCTTGCCGCTTAACTTGAAATCTGTCATAGTGTGATTAGCGCTCAAGTGTGCCTATGCCTGGAATGTACCTGGCTCAGTTCCGGGGCAAGAAGCCCAAGTTCATCAGATGTTTGTGGTTGGAAGTCTTTGCCTCATTTCACACGCGCACAACTAGATTCATAGGAGTGTTCGCTTGAAGTCTTGCCGACTAATAACGGTCACTCTTTGTAAAGTTTTTCGTGAATAATAATAATAATAATAATAATAATAATAATAATAATAATAATAATAATAATAATAATAA